GAACCTTCTGGTGCCGGGCGCCCCGGATGTGCGCCTTGTAGGCTTCCGCCCCGGTGCAGGACACGGAGCACAGGTCACAGTACAGCGGGTTGCCGTCGTCGGGCCTCTGAGCCGCCTCCTTCTTCCGATGCTTCTGCCCGTCCAGGTGCTCCTGGTAGGTCTGCCGCCAGAGCGAGCCCGGGTCACCTGCCGGGTGCTGTCCCCTCCCGCAGGCTGCGGGCCCAGCTGGCGGGAACCCATGGGAGGCAGAGCCCGGCTGTCCCCACCCTCTGCCTTCTGGCGCCCTGGAGAGGGGCGAGAGTCGCTTTATCAAACACAGTGAGCAGACTCAAAAGCCAGCCTGTGACCTCCACCTACCTACTCAGGAGGCTGAGGCAGGAGGATCTCAAGGTTCAGCCCAGCCCGGGCAACTCTGAGACTTAACAAGACCATGTCTCAAAAAAAAAAAAAAAAAAAAAAAAAAAAAGGAGGGATGGGGATGTAGCTCAGTACAAAGGTCCTGAGTTTTAATCCTCAGTACTGTAAAAAAAACAAGAGGTCCCCAAAAAATACATCAGTAAGACTTCTTACTGTTTCTAAAAATAAGCCAATTTCTTATGAAATCCCCTCTGAGGATTACACATTTAGTTGGGGGCGGAAGCCACTGTAAAAGAAAATCCTGGCATTTCTGAATTTTACTTCAGAATCTAAACTGCCTGAACAACCCCTGTGATTACTTTTTAGAAAACTGCTAAGAAACTCAGTGGTCCCAAGCGACAGGAGCCAGCATGACTCACAGGCTCCCACATCTGGGACTACTGTGCCCCAAATCTCAGCCTCAGCCTGCAGGGTCTCACCCGGAGTCCCTGCTGGGTTCTTGGAATCCTCAACATCAGGCAACCCGCAACCCACTCTTCTTGTGTGGGTCCCCTCAAACCCTCTGCCCCGGCCTGGGATGAACACAGGAAATCTACACCATGGTTCCATTCCAGGGAGAAAAAAATAGGCAGACCCAGCACTCTGGGAGGCTGAGGCAGGAGGATCGAGTCCCAGCCCAGCCTGGGAAACTTGGCAATTCAAGGAGATCCTATCTCAAAATAAAAGAGGCAGAGACATGGACAGGGTAGATGGTGGGCATCCTACTGTATACTTTAGAATATTCTCAAATCTTGAATCTTGTAAGCCAGGCTATTACCCAGGGAGCAGAGTAAATACACACATGCATGCGAATTAGGAACAGAGCCTATGGAATATGGCCTGGAAGGCTCCACACTGAGGCGCTGCCAGTGAGTTATTTCTGGGTGGAAGGATTTGGCCACAGGCGCCTGTTGCCTGCTGTCTTCACCCACACGGGATTCCACTGAGCATGGTTCCATTTTTCTCTATCAGTTCGTTTTTTTGAGCAGAGTAAATACACACATGCATGCGAATTAGGAACAGAGCCTATGGAATATGGCCTGGAAGGCTCCACACTGAGGCGCTGCCAGTGAGTTATTTCTGGGTGGAAGGATTTGGCCACAGGCGCCTGTTGCCTGCTGTCTTCACCCACACGGGATTCCACTGAGCATGGTTCCATTTTTCTCTATCAGTTCGTTTTTTTTCTCCAGTGCTGGAGATGGAACCCAGGACCTCCCGCCTGGTAGGTGAGCCCTCACCACTGAGCTACACCCCCAGCCCTTTTAATTTTTATTTTGCTAAATTTCTCAGGCTGGGCTTGAACTTGAGATCCTCCTGCATCAGCCTCCTAAGTAGCTACATGATAAGTGTGGATCATTGCTCCCGGCCCTCCTCTCCCCTTCTCAGTTCCTGAGGGATTTGCCCTGCCTGAGTCTCACACACTCCGTCCGCAGGGACGGGCTGGAAGGATGAAATCATTTATGTCCTCTGCTTCGACGGGCCTCTCTCAGGGACAGCACAGTAGAAACGAGGCTAACTTTGACTTGGAAAAGTGCCACTTTAGTGGACAACTGGAGAAGTCAGCAGTGTGACCCGAGCCCCTCCGGCAGCAGGTGGAGAGGGCCGAAGGCTGTTGTTCGGTCACAGACCGCCAGGGACAGTGGTACGTGCCTGCCAGCTACCTTGGAAGCTGAGGCAGGAGGATCGCATGTTCAAGCCCAGCCCTAGCAATTTAGCAACCCACCAGACCTTGTCTCAAATAAAAAATACAAAAAAGGGCCAGGAATGTGGCTCAGTGCAAAGGCCCTGGGTTTCAGTTTGATCCCCAATGCTGAAAAAAAAAAAAAAAAAGATGAAAAAG